TATATATTCTTAGGCAATCGAGAAGGCTGGCCAGATGAGGAGGGTGAAGGTACAAAGAGGGGACATTTAAACTCTTTGGGCAAGCTACTGAGCCAGTTGCTGTCCTTGGCATTTTGGGTGATTCGCCAATAAAATATGATGGTGATGGCCATGAACATACAGGTGAAAACAGACACAACCCAGAATTTGTGGTTGGCCAGACTCTTGGATAATTTCAGCACTTTGCACATGGTCAGCATTCTGCAAATAAAACTAGGATGACCTGCAAAAAACCACACACAACTAGTTAACATGTGGATCAGGATCCCATTGACAACAGAAATTTTAAATCATAATGTCGACTGCCTGTGAGTCCTCAGGGCAGTTACATACAAGTAACCAGACTATTGTTTTATTTTTTTAAGTTTATAAAGCTTATTTGAAATTCAGTCAATTAAGAAAGATTATTAAACAGGAGGGGTGGGCACAGACCTGAACGCTAAGCTAAAATCTGGCCCGAACTTGTGGTTTCAAGGTCATGTTGTCTGGCCCCTGGAGTCCCTGAGTTTCTTGGCCAGGCTCGGAAGTGTTTGGGCACTCTCGGCAGAGAAACCCCACCCCATGCAGTTTCACGCAGAAAAGCGGGTGTGGGTGGGATTTTCCAGCCATCGAGGGACCAATATTGAGCATCTGAGGCTGACAGGCAGCTCTGATTTTCAATCAGAGACGTCCATACTTCTCCTTCGGAATGGGAGGGGTGTGTGTGTATATTCCATGGAGATGCGTAACTGTCTTTTGTTTCACATTGAGTTTTCAGCGAGTCTAGTTCTCCTTGTATGCATGAAAAAACCTCATAGTGGGCCTGGAGTGGGGTGGGGGATTTGCTGGGGTCACTGGGTGGGTGGAGAAACCTGCTGGACCTCATGGTGATGATCCAAACTGCCAGACAAAAAGCATTCTCCCCTTACCTTTCCTCGCCCTCTCCCCCCTTTCTGAGTTCCACTGCTACAATGCTTTGTTCACTCCCTTTTCTCTCTTTGATGAGAGAGGTGGGAAACTGGGGTTGAATCGCATGGCACGAATGATCCCGAGAGTCCCTGGAGGCCATGTTTGATGGCACCCTCGAGAAGCTGGCATTCTTCATGCTACAGGTGCACAAGTTCTTGAGAGATTGGGGCCCCATGTTCGCCTCAGACGAGCACCGAGTAGACTACATTGGGTCATGCCTGAGGATTTGTGGGGCGTTGCCCTGCAAGAGCCTTGTGCAGCATTTATAAAGCTATGGGCTATGGCTGTGAGCTGAACTATATAATAGATGTGCCAGAGACTGAACTGTATGGTAGCCCGATAATAGTGCCAACCTCCTGGACTGTAGACACGTGCCCACCTGAGGGAAGCCTCGCCAGGAAGCAGTACAGACATACCCAGTACTCACCATTGTTAAAGGTGTCGTCACCATTAACAAACATTATGTCACTTGCCCAACACTTAATTTCATTCTCTTGGCCCATTAAGAAACTAGCAGCTTCTAGTAAGTTCCTGGGGACTACATGCTTGGTGGCTCATGCCTCAAGCTCCTCTTTGGGTATATAAAGAGAGCATCTGCCCATTGTTCTCTCTCTCTCCTCTCCTGCCTACCTGACCCCACCCTATCTAGCCAACTTCAGTTGTAGCGCTGTCTGAAGTCGTCACGTGTGGTGCTGGCCATCACATGATCCCCTTCCCTAGTATTGTCTCCATTTTCCACTGCAGGATTGCCTCATCACGTCGGAAGGTAAGGTATCACCCCACCAATGATACTTCCTGTTCATGCACCTGTCGCTGTACTATTGTAGTAGTAGTGAGTTTATTACGATCCAAGATCAGAAAATCATAACCACAGTAATCAAACAGGCATTCCGATGGTTACATTACATAAATTACATTAGTTAAAATTGGATACATATTGTAACAGTAAACGTAGATTAAGCTAGTTAAAATTTGTTAAAATGCACCCTATTCTTCTGTCTAATGCAGCAAATCTGAGCAAAAATCTCCTACTATGAATTTATTTATTTTATTTATTAGTTAGATTTCTATCCCACCCTTCCGCAGAAGTGGCTCAGGCCGGCCACACTCGACTCTAGCCACAGACTCACCAGTTTAGTTGGCAGATATCCAAGTCCACTGCGTGCCGCTACTGCTAGGTAGAAATACCCCATTTACAATTAACTGCTGCTTATTCCTAGTCTAAATTCTAATCACCATATAGGGTCTACTCTAATTCTGCTCTTACAGCCCAACACTTTAATCTGTAGTTTATGATTGCCTTTTTCTAATTTCCTATTATCTATATTTCGGATCCTATTTTCCCAGCCAGTAAACTACATAAAGGCTGGGAGGTCAATGGCATATTTACAGAAGCTACTTATCATTAATCAATTTACAATAGTAATTCAAATGTAAGGGCAGACAATATATTCAGCCAATTCATTACTTTAGAACCCAGTTAAATTAATTAAAAGCTGTCCATCAGCGGTATAATTAAACCATAATTAATCAATATAACTCCAGTTAAATCCAACCCCCAATTAATTGGACAGTTTAATCAAGCAATCAAACCCAAATCACTCTCTAAACCAACCTCCCCCAATTAATTGACAAACACAATTAGCTAACAATAACTACCCCCAATTAATTATTCCCCAATCAACTAATTAACACAGTTAGCTAACAATAACTACCCCTTAATTAATTATGTCAAAACCTAATTAATTATATCCAAACCTAATTCCAAATTAAACGGCCAGTTACAGCAATAATTATACACGTGTAGAGGCAGCAATCCAGTCTGGTCTTCCTCGAGCCTCAGTCAATGGGTCTAAATGACTCCGCTCACTCCACTCATCATCCACTTCTCCCACTCCTGTATCTCTTTGTGCCCGGCAATCCTCCCTATAGGCACAGATTCTAATCTCGCACCCTTCTTTCCTGGGCTGCTGCTGCATCCGTCTCCTCACCCTGACTCTCCCAGCTAATACGAAGTTCGTCAACCATTCGGGTCCAAGATGCTCTGTATTTCATGAGTCCGTTGCCGGGTCCATCACCACGGCCTCCATCTGCAGGGGGATTGGGGCACTGCTCTCATCACATTGCCGTCCGCTGTCCAATGAGCCCAGTTTGAATTAGGGCTCCCCAAGCCCTCCAGCGCACCTCCACGCGACCGAGGGGCATTGTTGATAATATCTTTATGAATTAATGTACTTATAACAGTCAACAGCCTTATACTTATAACAGACCAATGACACGCACAAGTCTGTCGGTAATAAAACTTAGAAATCTATCAAAGTATACTACCATTAAAATACATGTCCCAATTATACAGCATCATTCCAGTATAAATAGTGTTTGGCTATATGGGGATCAGCATTTGTAGTAGCTAGGACTGCGTCACGCAGGAAGCCTCCTTTGATTTAAAACTGTGCTTCAGTTTGATTATGTGGGCGCAAAATCTAGCTGTCACACTGGTGATTGATGGTATTTCATCCACCAACAATTTCCTCACAAACATCTTGTGAGTTCACACCTTAACCTACTTCAAAATAGGGAGGATTGTCTTATCCCTAACATCTTTATATAGGGGACAACAGATAAGAATATGTTCCAGTGCTTCCACCTCACCAATAGGCATGTACAGATTCTTTCGCTGTATGGAATCCATCGATATCTCCCTTCTGTTACCTTGGATGGCACAACGTCACACACGGCAAGAGTAAAAGCTCTTCTATATGGAGAGTATTCTATGTTTTTAAGATATTGGGCCATATTCATAGTATATGTATCTTTTTCAGACACCCTAAAGTTTGGATTTCTTATCAGGTCTTGCTGACATTTGATGTCACAGAGCCTTTGCTTGATTAGCAATCTTGCAGCATTAATATTTTGGATCAACAGATCATTGAGCGAAAAACCTATACACTTTAAGTTACCCTCCACCAAACGTATCCATTCGGATTGGTACTGATTCTGAGCTATTAGAGGGAATAAGTCTTTTTCATTTTTATGTAACCTAAGCCAGGAGAATGCTGAGGCAAGAAAAATTCTTGCTTCAATTTTTATTTGTCCGGTTTCTAATCGAAGTAAAGAATTGGAGACATTAGGTGGAACTTGTAAGATGGATTGAAGGAATTTAGATTGTACTTTCTCCAACGAATGTAGACTTGTCACCGGAATTCCTATATAGGTGCCATAAAGAAGTTGGCTAATGACTTTGGCATGGAAAATTTTCAGGGCTGCAGGGACATAGGAGCCACCTTTAACCCGAAAGAATCTTAGAATTGCATTCGCAGAGATCTCAGCAGGGTCCGTCCTCAAGTTACAGTGAGCTGTCATATGCCCATTCTCTTGAAGTACGACCCCTAGGTACATAAACTTATTGACCTTCTCAATTCTGTTCCCATTCATTGACTAACTTTTCTTTTTCGGCCGTTTGCCAAATACCATTACTTTTGTTTTTCCATAGTTTATTGTGAGATGTTCTTTATTACAATATGTCGAGAAACTGTCTAGTGCCCTCCGCAAACCTACTGGAGTTCTTTTTAATAGCAGTGGATCACCTGCATATAGCAGTAATGTTAGATGGTGCACTGCTAATTTCGGTGGATGAAACTTTTGGTCGGTCAAATATTTAGTCATGCAGCTGATGTAAAAATTGAATAGCGAGGGAGCAAGAAGGCAGCCCTGTCTGACTCCTTTATAAGTTCTAACTGGGTCAGTAAGATGCCCATGTTTGTTATATCTCACCCTAAGGGCAGATTTCTCATGGAGGGCATGTATAAGAAATAGTAATCTTTTGTCAATCGTGGCAAGATCTAGTTTCTGCCACAATCTCACCTGTGATATTGAATCAAAATCTGCCTTCAAATCGATGAAGGCAGCATATAGAGAGGTTGATCCTTTGACTGAATACTTCTCTATTAACTGTTGGAGT